GGTAGAGCCATTGCCAAGTTATTGGACAAGGCATCTGACTAGAACCAAAAGATTGGAGCCCCTACCTAGAGCTATCATGGGTCCAGAAGGTGGATGATATAGATTGAGGATTATTCTCATGCTTTCAGATCAACAGAATTTGCCATGCTAGGTTTTGAGCTTACCTCAGACCTTTCTGCTTTCTTATTTCTCCCTTTTAAGATGGAAATATCTAACTTACACCTGTCCCACTACTGTATTATAGAAGCACATCATATGTCTGGTGTCACACTTCATAGCTAGAAAGGAAAGTTGCCTCAGGAAGAATCATATCTTAAGTCTTATCCATTCTGATACTATTTAGATGAGGCTTGATGCTTGGAATTGATGCTGACATGGGTTAAGACACTTGCTGTTATTGAGAAGGAGTGAATGTATTATATTTTGCATATAAGAAGAATAAACCTTTGAGGGGTGGAGAGGCATCAAGGTCATGACTGTCATGGATGGAATTGTGTCTTTCACAAATTTATATGTTGAAGCCTCATCCCACAGAGTGACTGTATTTGGACTCTCTCTGCCCACCTCCTCTCTCCGAATATGCACAAAGAAGAGACCATGTAAAGACACAGCGAGAAGGTGGCTGTCTGAAGGCAGAAAGAGGCCTTCTCAGTAACCAGCTCTGTTACCTGATCTTGAATATCCAGCTTCCAGAACTGTGCAAACAGGAATTTCTTTTGTTTAAGCCACCTAGTCGCTGGCATTTCATCATGGCCTAAGAAGACTTATACAAATTAATATTTTAAATACAAGGCTATTCTGTAACTTAAACATATCAGATACTTATAGGATTCTCAAACAAAGATTTTACTTAAATTTGCCTTTAATATCTATTTCTTTTTGAAGAGAAACTGTTTTTCTCTGATAAACAACACAAATCTCCAAAAAGGTAAGTAGAATGTCAAAAGGATTATAGAAAATTACTTACAAATAATTAAACTAGCCATATAATTAATTTATGTTTATATTGTAATTGAGCCCTTCACCCAGGGGGCGTGCTGGACACCCTCACAATTGTGCACATTAGGTGAGATCCCACCAATCACTCTCCCTTTCTCCGCTCCCCTCTTTCTCTTCTCCCCTCCCCCACGATAGACTATACTTGTGTTTTTTCTTTTGTGTGAGCATGGAGTTGTTTATATATTGGGTTCATATTAGTTTTGAGTACCTTGGATATTGTTTTTCCATTCTTGAGATACTTTACTGAGAAGAATGTGTTTCAACTCTATCCAGGTAAACACAAAAGGTATAAAAAATCTCCATCTTTTCTTATGGCTCCTTGGTTTTTTTTTTTGGTTTGTTTGTTTGTTTAGCTAGTTGTTACTCTGTGCAAGGGGGCTCATAGCAATTTTTTTTTTTTAATGTCTCTTGTTTGATTTATCTAGGATTGATAATGGACACTGTTATCTGTCTTACTCTTTCTTATTTATTAGAGAAACTCCATTTTTTTCAGATAATGTCTCAGGTTCAAGCGATATACATGCATTAAGTTCCTTTCGTAGTCAAGGAGACTGACTGCTTGCATTTATTCAAGTAAAGTGTATACAAATGAATGTCTTCTGGGGCCTCCGGAGAAGTGTGTGCTTTTCCTGAGGAGCCTAGATGCAACTAGCACCCATTTTACTCATTCTCTGCACTTAGAAATAATCTTAAAAGTGGGAAGTGATAAGTATTAGAGAAAAGCCAAACAAATTTAGACAGTATCCCCTCACTTTACTGAGTAGCTGAACCAATAGCCATCTGCGGGTCTTCAGACGGCTCAGTGCCTGAAACAAAGAAACCATTGTGCTGGCTATTGTTAGCTGATTCTGTGTTAATGGGTATGTAAGCTTTTATCTAACTTGTAGTTCTACCACAGTCATTTCATGTTCAAAGAAACATTATACTGCAATTATTATTTATGTTCATAATTATTTCCTAAGTTGAACCTAATTAAAATACTAAAATCCTACTTTAAGCCAGCATTTTCCAGGGTATATTCAAGAGAATATATATTCATTGAGATATTAATAGGTACAATACTAAAAATGAAATAGAGGTTGAAATATGGGAGGAAATGTCACTCTTTTATAATTCATTTTTTATTAACCATGAGACTTCTTCAATTTTGGACCACTTGGAACTCCCCAAATCATCTTGTTGGACTATTGTTCAGGAAAGACATTTCAGGAAATACTGCCTTAAGCCATTCATTCATTGATTTGTTCTTTCAACAAAAATGATCAAGTGTCTTTCATGTTCTGTGATCTTTATCACTAAATCCATATCGCCATCTTACTGTTATCCAAGACATTGTTCTCATCATTCCTCCTGATCTTTCATTTCTGGATCCGTAGATTTATGGTAGATTTCTAGCTACACCTTAATGGTTCTTTAACGTGAAAGGTTGACTGTCTAAACACATGACATGTATGTGCAGGTAATACAAGCCCTTCATATCTGATCCACTCTATTAGTTCCTCACTAATAACTGTTTCCATTATAACTCACAATCCTCAAGTGAAGCCCCAACTTAGATTTTTTTTAGTCAGTCAATCCCAGGCTTCTCCAGATAATCACAATCATCAGTTTCATTTTTCTACTTTCTAGTTAATTACACTTTTGTTGTCTACATATGTTTAAAATGTTTATTGTTGGTTTCCTTATGCTTTTCTAAAGTACAGTAGACCCTCCATAGTTGACCACCTCCTTAAATTGACCTAATTTTCATTGACCCTACACTGACTACCTTCTTATGTTGACCTAATTTTCATAGACCAGACATGTACCACAGGTACATATTAGGACAGTAGGTGTATTTCCTTATGTTGACCACCTCCATATGTTAATCAGTTTGTTACAACCCCTTGGGTGGTCAACTTACAGAGATTCTATGATACTATAGGACTGGGAGAAGCAGGGGTGGGTGCTTAACATCAGAATTGCAGCCAATTGTCTCATAGGGAGCCTAATCCTTCTCAGTAGCTAGACTCAGAGAAGAGTCCTCCCATTTCTTTCCTCCACCTCTCACCTCTCATATAGTCCTAAGATGTAGAGGGCAAACTGGTTAATCTTGATCCTGGAAAGTACCTGGGAAAAGTATTTTATTTCTACCCCTTTTCTGAGCAGAAAGTTCTGCAGATGGATTAGATACTGTAATTTTTTATTTGTTTCAATATTTACCTGTCCCCATTGTCAGGAACTTCCTCCACGTAACTAGCCTTCATCCCTCAGCTGGGGCCTAGAGACATTTCTTAATCTTTTTTTTTTTTTTTGACTAGAGGACTTACTAGAGGGCTTTGGCTGGATTAATCACTGAGCATAGTAACCAGAATATAATTTGCTGGTCACTGCCAAGCGGCATCACTCTAGTTCAATGGGGGTACATCAAAAGGGTTTATCTAATGTTAGGAGCACACGCAAAATCATTTTGTTCATATTCTTTTTCAGAGGAATAACTATTTTGTTGTATCTGTGAACTTGAGATCATTAGTCAGATTTAAAGCATATTATTTTATGCAAAGTCTCTTGTGGAATAAACCACATAAAACCATAATTCAGCCTCTGCACACAAACACCTTAAAAGTTAGTTGGAAAGACAATATGCATAATGACATAATGCATAGACATAAGATGGTAACTATCACCATCAAGGCACTTATTTATCAAAGCACTGATAAATAAGTAGCATAGGGGAAAGGTAATCAGCCTGTTAGCAGTCTGTGAGAAACGTACAAAGTTTAATTTATTAATGTCAAAATATTTTAATAAGTTTTCCATCTTTCACATCTTAATTTTAGAGAGATACTGAACTGAAATCTAATTTATATTCTATGACTCAAGAAGTATACCTTTGTAAACATACTATCTAATATAGTTAAATATAGGTATATAAGTTAGGAAAAGAATAAACAAAACTTTCATTAAAAATGAAGAGACTAAGGGCCACACTTGTGGCTCAGAGGAGTAGGGCACCAGCCTCATATACCAGAGGTGGCAGGTTCAAACCCTGCCCCGACCAAAAACTGAAAAAAAAGAAAAAAGTAGAGACTAAAATAATTGACTTATGTTGGTTTTCCAGAATTTTTGTACAACAAAAGAATACTGAACCAAATACAGTAATTTCAGAAAAACATAATCACAGGTACGGTGGCTCACACCTATAATCCCAGCAATTTGGGAAAACTAGGGCAGGAGAATTTCTTTTCTTTTCTTTTTTTTCTTGGCTGTGGCTGGGTTTGAACCCACCTCCTCCAGCATATGGGGCCCTACTCCTTTGAGCCACAGGCACTGCCCCGGGGAGAATTTCTTGAGCCCAGGAGTTTTAGGCCAGTCTAGGAAACATAGTAAGACTTTGTATCTAATTTTTTTAAATTAAGAAGAAGAAAAAAGAAAAAAAAGAAGAAAAAAGAGAAATTTGAACAAATAGGCAATGTTTAAATTCTACCAGCATTAAACCTTTCAAACTAAATTATTTACAATTACTTTCTATCTTCATGTAAGTATTCAGTGTCTTTATGTTTTCTTTCTTTTTGAAAAGATGTAGAAAGAAAGTTCTAAACTTGCTGTAAGCTCAAAATTGGATAAAGATTCCACATGAAAGCAGAGCAATGCCTCAATTTACAAATCATTCCTTTTGGAAGTGCTCTTTTGTGGGACTGTTCTGTGCTACGCTGACTAATAACTGCACTAGGTTTATATGACAAATCTTTTGCAGTTGTGTAAAATAATGGATTGAGTAATTAAATAGTACTATTGTGAACTTAAAACTAGTGACGGTCTATAAAATAGATGCATATTTGAGATTTAACATCTGGAATAAATATTATGTCATAAATCTTCATAAATTCATTTCGAGTCATTTGCATATCTTTTCACCCAGAAAGATAAGTTCATTAAAGAATTTGAACAATTTGGGATGACCTGTTCACAGCTCCATTTTCACTAGAATTTTGATAGCATGAAATATGTTTGTTTTACAGGTTCTTCCGCAACACAACCCCCTCAAATGGTCGTGTATGCCACCTTCACGCCTCTCTATTTGTTTGAAAACAAGATCTTTGCATTACAGAAGATGGTAAGCATTCAAGACCAGGGAATACAATGTCCGTTATGCTTGCCTGTGTGTGCCCCTGCATTTGCAGAAGGTGCAGTAGAATTTAATTAAAATTCTACCTCTGGATTTCATTTCCCTTATATTGGAAATTAAGTACTTGACCTAAGGGACCTGGAATATCCAAAATTATCTTGGATGATTGCAGTAGTGCTATCTAAGTACAAAAAGAAAAAGGAAAAAAAAGAAAAAAATATATAGTTACATTTAATTTTTGTGACTCTTTTATATACAAAAGGAAAGATAAAGAATTTATATATTTCCATGAAAGTCATGGAAATAATTTCTATTATTAAGGACCTTCCTGTAAATTGGCCACACATGTATTCTTAGCATAAGAAGATTTAAATGAATTCACCCTCCGACTGGGGAGCCACTGACATGACCTTCCCTGTATCATTAAATAATGTAAAAGAAATGATTATTGCTTTTTTTTATTATAAATTTAACATATTATAGAAAATTTTTAAAATGTAGTCAAAGATACTACAATTAAAATATCAGCATAAATGGCTAGGCACAGACAATATGAACGTTTTGGCATATATCCTTTGATTTTTTTCTACTTATATATTTTGTGTTTGTATATGTGTACTTTTTTTTACAGTGTGAAATCATGTTACATTTGGAAACCAGCTTTTCACTCGCCAATGAATTATTAATGTTTTTTCATGATGTTAAATTTTAGTTAGTCTATGTTTAGTAGTTGCATAATATTTATGCATTTCTATAATTTCTAAAAGTGCTACTGAATATTGCTGAATATTCCTTTAGGCTGTTTTCATTCTTGGACAGAAAAACAACTTTTCTCATTCTTCTCTAATGGTACAGTCCCTCAAATCACTAAATAACTTGTTTAGAGAGATTCCCTGCTGCATTTGGGGATTTCTGGATCCTAACCCTGTTTGGAAACTTTAGACATGAAGCACTTTATGGCTAGGACTTCATGTTCTGACATCACTGCATTAAAGTACAGGGACTACATATGTTCATTTGGTTAGTTAGAAACTTGAATAGAAATTAGCTTGAAATGTAAATATTCCAGTTGAATGACTGTTAAACTTTATTATAGGCATTACATTTGTCTCCTAGATCATGTCCAGGGGATATAATATGGTCATTTTTCCTCCTTTTGTTCCTACCCTCTTCTCCCCTTCTCAGATAGCAATCACTTCTTTCTGCAAAATCTACAAAACATCAGTGGTCACACTGTAAAGAGGACAGAATGTAGTGTACCATTATTAATGTAGAGATGTTGGCAGTTACACTGATTTTAATTATATTAGCCATTGTTAAGTCTCAGAACCAGTAATTTAGATTGGATCTTAAAATCAGTAACATATAATACCAATTGTGTATCTAAAACCTCTTCCAGATTAAGCCTCTTGTTGATAGGTCTGGCCTTCTTATCTCTGATTTTTTTTTTTTTAACCTCTTTACATACCACTGTTTTCTCAGATACTCCAGAGAGTACAGGATCTAACAGAGCTGCCAATGAGCCCCCTCCATATTTTGTGGAGTGTCACGGCCTCCTGCCTGAGGAGTCCTCAAATTCTTTGTAAAACCACAAAATGTAAGCCTAGGATAAACATATTATAAAAGGGAAAGCAATACAGTGGTATTCAGCAATATTCAGTAGCACTTTTTTAAGGATGAGTTCACAATCTTAATTGTCCAAGCTCATATATTACATAAGCAATAAATATCTGTTAAATTAACCAGTGATTAAACAGATGTGAGATTTTATTCTTTACTTAGACTTTTAAATTCAAAACTAACTTTGTGCTTAAATCTTAGTTTCTCAGTAGCACCACTGAAAGTTCACATGGATTACGGCTGAATATTCCTGTAGTCACCTTTGAAGTACTCCCCATGGGAAGTACTAGCACCTAGACCATCTTTCAAAGCAATTTTGAAGCTCTTTTTCTAGACTGACCATCAGAGCTGTCATTGTAAAGGTCTGACAATTAAGTTCACGAACTTGCCAACATGCGCTTATGCTGGCAGCACTGTACAAATCCTCTGTGATGTTTTATAACCTTGGCATATCAGAGTCTCACCGCTGATTGTGTTGACATGTGGCAGTATCTTGCTGAGTAGCCATCATTATTGTCGTTGAGTGTTTTTGTGTGCCATACGGTGACAGCTCTGATGTTCATTCCAGAAAAAGAGTTCCAAAATTGCTTTGAAGGGCAGACTAGGCACTGGTATCAGCACATCAGAAGCTTCCCAAGGGGAGTACCTTCAAGGAATGTAGTAGTTTTTCTGGGATGAGTTCATACCCTTAACTGTCAGACCTCGTATGCTAATCAATGTGCTGTATTCAGAGGGTATGCAAGTTAGTAGGATAAAGTGTATTAAGTGTGTTTGAAGCAAAAGGAATCCTATGTTGGAAAGTCTGGTGATGAAGGAGATTCTCCTGGGCTCAGAGAACTACTAGGGACTGCACAGATTGCAAAGGGAGAAGTCTTAGGGGCAGTTTGGAGTACGGGTGAGAGTAAGGTCATAAAGAGTATCATAAATCCTCCCTTTGGGGGTTGGAAATGGTTTAAAGTGCCCAGAGATTCTGGAATTAGCTTAGTGTCTGGAATAGTCATTAAGTGACCTGCAAGGCGGGAATGAACTGCCTGTAGTGTCACTATAGTGTCACGAGTTTGCTGTCCTGCCTTCTGGTTCTTTTGGGTTCGCAGTGTATAAGGGTGAACTAGTTTCCCTGGTAAATATCAGAATATCATAAAGAGATATAATGCTTTAACAATAAAACTTTAGGAAACATTTGTGTCCCAGTGGAATGTCATTAAATGCAATACATTGCTCAAAGTTATTGCCCCAAAGACAGTGAGATCAAAAAGTAAAATAAAGTCAATAACTACTTTTTTAAAAAGAAATCATAAAGAATACAAGAAACCAAAAACAAAACTTGGAAAGGAGCAAGGTGTCATGAATTACTTTGTATTATTCAACATCCTCCTCCTCTTGGGTAGTCTAAATGGATTTAGTTTTATTTAGGTGGGTGATCTGGATGTTTTGAAAAAGCCTCCCCCACCTGTTTAAGCCCTCATTCCTGTTTCTTTTCAAGTGTTTGAAATGAGATGGACTAAAAAGAATGAAAGGGCCTTAAAAAAGGAGACTTCTATTATAATTTAAGTCTTATGCATGAATTATCCAGTAGGCATATATTAAGTGCTTATTAAATGTTCCAGGCACTATTGTAAATCCCTCCCTGCCCCTAATAGTAACCCAAGGAAACTTGAAATCTTTTAACATAGTTTCTTAACATCAAACTATAACTATTATTAATAGCATTACTTTAGATGAATCAGAAGTATAGTTAGAAATAAAACAAAGCATGAGGAATTGTCCTATTTTAAATTCTCATGCTTAAATCAAGTTATTACTTTGGTAGATTATTTGAATTATATAATATAAATAGGTGCTAATATTATACTTTGCTGTTCGGACCAGAACTTTACATTTTCAAAGTGCTTTTTATTGTTCAGTGCTCGACAGATCAAAAAGAAAATCTTTTTAGACTGAAATACTGGTTGCAATTGTAAAGAGAAATTCATAAACCTAGACCAAGAATTATGACTATTAAAGTGTCTGGAACTTACTCAACTTATAAATACTACTTTATGTATGACTTCCATTTCAGATGTTATTTAAATGTAACTTTTATAACAATGTACCTTTTAAAAAAATACCTTGCTGAGGTATTATCTTATTGAATAACCCGAAATTATCCCGTAAATTTCCAATGAAAGATGGATGATCTGGATGTTTTAAAAAAGCCTCAATGTTAAAAAAAATTAACATTTGATTACTGTCAAATGTTAAGATTTGACAGGGTTAAAGTAGATTAAAGGTTTAAATTTTAGATCACCTTTGAAAAAGTTTTTAATAAACATTCTAACACATAATTCCAGAATTTTCTGAATTTTTTTTTTTTTAGCAAATTTCTAATTCTACAAAAGGAAAGAAGAAAAGAAGACTTTCCTCTAATTCTTAACTAGTTCACTTTTTAAAAGTGTTGACTCACTTTTCTTTATAGTTTCAATATTTAAGATATTTTTAAATAGCTTTGCATTAATGCACTGATGAACTCTATAGTTAAAATTATTTTTCCTGGCTTCTTGCGGTATTCTTATTTTGTGGCTCAGGGAAGTATAGAAGCAGGGTGGTGAAAGCAAGGCAGGCTCAAGTTGAAGTAAGGATTTGGAACAGGATGATAAACAGGTTTCTGGTTCTAATGTAAATGGCTGTTTTGTGAATTTACAGTCTCAGTTGAGCTATTGGGCTACTGCACAGAAATCAGGGATGAACCATTGATTGGGAAGAACGATAGTTACTGGCAAACTGACTTTAGTGTGGTTATTATTTAATTTTATTTTACTTTAAATGTGAGAGAAAGTTGTGAAAGTCAGAATTAGGCTATAATATATTTAACTTTATCATTCACATACTCTATGGCACTTTTCAGCCATAAATCAGCAACTTGAGTTGGCTTAAATGCTATTCTGAATTATTCCAAAGCAGGCTGGCTTCAGGAAATCTGAACATTCTGATATGGGAAGTATCTGCCTGGGAAAATACTTGACTTGGCAGGACACAGAAGCCTTTCTTCCCCACATGTCTATGAATGCCTCCATTGCCAGGAGTAATCACGGGGATTTCTTATGGAGGAACCCACTTCTAGTGCTGGGGGCGTAAACTGTAGATAAGCCAACCACTTAGCCCTTCATTGACATGGGGACACTTAAGATAGTGGATAGCGATTGCTAGTGATTAAAAAACAAACTTTACATGTCAAGCACTAGAGTTAAAACCTTATCCTATAAAAATAATGGCAGATTAATTTTGGACCAAAACTGATGAGCTAAGATTTTTGTAATCTCATAGAATCTTAAGCTTTTAGAACTGAAGAGTGTCTTCAAATTCTAATCTCTCATTTTGTAAATAAAGAAACAGCCCCCTCCGAAAGTGTGAAAGATGGTAATAGTGCTTATACAGAGAAATAGGAATGGCGGCGTTTTTTTTTTTTTTTTTTTAATAACCACTGTATCAGTGTATTGCTGATAGGATTTTTATATTGACAAAGTTTTTTAAAGGCAGAAGGCAATTGCAAGAATCTTTTTCCATCTACTTTTCACCTTTTAGGCCGATTCTGCTGAGAAACTTAGAGAATATGGGCTTTCACACATCTGTAGCCATCCTGTGCTGGTGACTAGAAGTAGATCTTGTCCTCTGGTAGCACCACCAAAGTCACCTCCTATACCTCCCTGGAAACTCTTTCGTCACAAAAAAGAAGCAGTTGTAACAGATGAACCTCAAGGTATGTACCACATTGTCTTCAGATCTTTCTGATTAACGTTTCTGTGCAGGAAGGTGTAATCATTTCATTTGTGGTGAAAGCTGGATGGCCAGGTCAAGCACTCAACATTGCACCTTAAATCTACATTGAATTTTATGCACAAATTTTGTATCTTTAAAGGATTAATTTTCCACATCTCAGAAGCTCAGCAGTTTGGTTCTCGTCTAAATTGATTAGATTTATCAAGGTCATCCTTTGAGTGATGGCATTGTTGTTATTAGTGTGATATAAAAGTATTTTGTAGCAAATGATAAGGAAACTTAAATAATATAGAAGAAATCACAGGAGTGAATTTCTAATGCAAAATCACCATATAGCAGCGCTTCTCAATCTGTGGGTCCCAACCCATGGGAACTATATTAAAGGGCCGCAGCATTAGGAAGGTTGAGAACCACTGCCATAGAGTATCATGTGGGACATAATCTTTGAATTATGGATTTATATTTAGATCTCTTCTAGGAATAGAACGTCTGTCCTGAACTTGCTCCTGTGTTAATTTTGCCCAGAAGACATAGGGCAAGCTGTGAATGACAGTTGGGATCAAAAACAAATGGGTTCCCTTGTACTCAGAGCTGGGAGTGGAGTTTTCCCACCTTGTTCTTATTCTCACAATTAAATTCTAAATTCTATTTATGTCTGACTTTTCATCCCTTCAGTTTTTTTTGTTCTATATAAGTCTTCACATTCTCACTCCTTTTTTCATGAGCAGCAAGTCTGAATGGAAGTGGGATCAAGATGACAAGATCAGTTTATAGCAGGAACATGAACATGAAGGGAGGCGATTAAAATAAAAATCATTAAGAATTAGAAAATGAAGCCTTAGCAGAATGATTCATAATATATGTTTATTTATTCACCATATATAGCTGTTCCCTCACTAATTTAGCCTTTGTAATTTTTAATGGAGGATGATAAACAATTGGAATGCTGTAGATTATATATGTGGCTGTGTGTTACATGTATACAGTCCCATTCCAAGAGGCTTAAATTATCTTTCTTCAAAATAGCCTTTTGATTACACTTTTTTGTGTTCATCTCCTACTCTTGCATTTTCTTCCTTTATCTTTTCTAATACTTTTTCTAATTCTATCAGTTCACTGACAGTCTATCATGTTCAAGAGATTATTGCATCTCTGCAAACAGAGGTCTATTAACCTGAATGAACAATTAAGGCAAAGTCACTAGAAACATGTATTGTGCCATTTACTGAAAGTATTGCTGCTAAGCTCATAAATGTGCTTTGAATGGTTGTTTCCAGGATCCATTAGCCAAGGCTTGAAGCCCTACTGGTGTTGGAAATACCCCTGACTTGCTATGGCTCCCACTACTACTTCACTGTTGCTAATTCTTCATTGCAGAGGGCAGGAGAACCTTATCCTCGTGTGATACACAAATCTCAGTGGTACTCAGGATCCTAGAACTGCAATAGCCATATAGATTGGAATATTTATTTACCTGTTCCTTGCCTCCTAATTCCTGCCATAATTTGTACATTTGAAAAATATAATTAACATCTCTTAACCATATGATTTTCCTCACATTTGCTTTCTGCCTATATTGACACAGCCAGTACAGCTAGTAGCAAAATTTCCCTAGCACGACATATGTTATCCTTGCCAGAAAAGAACAAAGGTCAAAGAAATATCTGATTGGGATGGACACAAAAAATGATCAATTCATTTTTTACTTAGGCCCAACTGCCTCTTGCCTTCCTGATTAATTATTTCAGCCATTTCCTTATATTCCTCGAGTTTCTGTAATGGGCTGTTGGTGCCAACAGAGTATCTCTGCTCTTTGTGTTAAAATATCTTATATTCCCTCCTCCCTCCCTTTCCTTCCTCCCCCCATTCCTCCTTCCTTGTTTGCCTGCCTTCCTCCCTTCCTCCTTCCCTTCCGTCTTTCCTTCCTCCCTCCTTCCCTCCCTTTCTTCCTTCCTTTGCTGACTTTCTTAAACCACATCCACATAACAGTTGGAAGGGGGAAAATCCTTTATTATTAAATGCTATATTTTAAGTGCATGGGTCACTTAAAATAACATATTCATTCAGAGGACTATGGAATAGCTGAATGAAAGGAAGAGAAGTGAACATACAAAGTAACCTACATGATAGTTATATAATTCTAGGTAAACAAATACTCTGGTAAACTGGGGATGAAAATCTAATGATTGGTGGAATTCTTTAATGGAATTATCCCACCTAGTGACTCATCACACATACTTATCTTTCTCCTCTCCATTGGATTTAATATTTAAAGTGAAAATTAACAAAAAGTGGGTAAGGGGATCTTTTTAGAGGACAGCACAGAACAATCTGAGAAAATTTATGTATACTATGTCACAGCCTCATTTTTCTCCTAATAATCTCCCCTAATGTTTAATTCAGTATTCATCACTGAATGCCTGTGCTGTGTCCCTCACTCATTAAGAATTTCTTACTTCTGGCTCAGTGCCTGTAGTTCAGCAGCTAGGGCGCCAGCCACATTCACTGGAGCTAGCAGGTTTGAACCCAGCCCGGGCCTGCCAAACAACAATGACAACTACAACTAAAAAATAGCCATGCATTTTGGTGAGCACCTGTAGTCCCAGCTACTAGGGAGGCTGAGGCAAAAGAATCCCTTAAGCCCGAGAGTGTGAGGTTGCTGTGAACTGTGACACCACGGCACTCTATTGAGGGTGATATTGTGAGACTCTGTCTCAAAAAAAAAAAAAAAAAAAAAGGACTTCTTACTTCTCATCTTCAGGATCTTCTACAAATATCCACAGATCCTGTCTTGACCTGCTGCTTTCTTTTCTATTCATGAGCTTTACTTTATTACATTTTTTCTTCCACTATTATCTCCTTATGTTAGTTCACATTTCTCCTTCATGTCCTGACCAATTGTGTTGTAGAGGTTCAATAAGGGAACATATATATATATATATATATAAAATATATATATTTTTTTTAGTAAAATACTTTTATAGAAAGTCATTCCTATACTTGAAATAGCAAATGTCAAAGAATATTTCTATAAGACACTGCCTTAATTGTTTCAAGTAATCTGGAAAGCGACTGAAGAGTAGACAAAAATAATCTAATATTGGCAAGATCTGTAAACACCTTATGTATCTTTATTGAAATTCACTGAGTAAATAATCTAATTGGTAGTGTATTAAATGTTAACTTCTGTGCATAATTCTGAAAGATTGAATAAAATGTACATCACCCTTCCTAATTGCTATTTTTTAGATCCAGTAATAGATGAGCCTGAACAGTTTCTTGAGATTTCAAGTCCATTTTTGAATTACAGAATGACTCCATTTACAATCCCAACAGAAACGTTAAGTATATATATAACATTCTTTCTTACAAATGCATTTTGTTAACAAATAGAATATTTTGTGATGCATATGGCTAAAAATAACTCTAAATGAGAGCATTTTAAGGAATATGGATTTAAGAATAAAGTCATATATATATACACACACACACACACAAACACATATGTATATACATATATATGTCATTCCACTAATTCATTTGATTAACAGGTTTTGCTCACCTTTTGTGGACAAGTGTTATGGACAGATGTTTGTTTTCCTCCCAAATTCATATGTTAAAAAGTTCTAACCCCCAGTATTTGTATTTGGAGAGGGGCATCTAAGAAAGTAATTAAGGTTAAATGAGGTCATAAGTGTTCTGATAAGATTAGAGTACTTATGAGGAGAGACACCAAGAGCTTGCTTTCTCTCTCTGTCTCCATGCACACACAGTGGGCAGGCCAGTGAGCACACAGAAAGAAGGCAGCTGTCTGCAAGCCAGGAAGAAAATCCCTCCCTGAGATATAACCCTGTTGGCAGCCACCTTTATTGATCTCAGACTTCTGGTCTCCAGAATTGTGAGGCAATAAATTTCTCCTCCTTAAACCACTTACACTATGGTATTTTGTTGTAGCAGCCCAAGCAAAACGAATCCAGATTTTTGTACAGAGAAGTAGAATGCTTCTATGACAAATATCTAAAAGTATAGAATTGGCTTTAGAACTGAGTACTGGGTAGAGTGTAGAAGAGTTTGGGGGTACATGCTAGGAAAAGCCTACATTACCCTAAACAGACTTTGGGTAGGTCATTCTGATGAAGTCTCAGAAAGAAAAGAGAACAAACTTCCACAATTATAAATAGAACATTGCTATAAATATGAACGGTAAAGTTCTTTCTAGTAAAGTCTCAGGCAAAAATGAAGAACAGATTATTTGAAACTGAGCAAAGGTAATCCTTGTTATGAAATGAATGTGTTTTCATATTTTATGAAAGGTAGAACTTGTGAACAAGGATACTGGATGTTTAGCAGAGGAGATCTCTAAGCAAAATGTTGAAGGCGTGGCTGGGTTCTTCTAACCACTTAAAGTAAAAACATAAGAGGAAAGGGATGAACTAAAGAAGGAATTGTTATGCAAAAAGGAACCAGAACAAAGATCTGGAACATTTTCAGCCTGTCCATATTGCAAAATATGAGATAGTGTGTTTTGAAGAGAATGCCAAGAGTCTAATTAGACTATCACTAGATAAAGAAATTATATTATACCCATAATCTTATCATGTGGAATGGATTATTTTAGCAGAAATGCTACCACTTTGAACTGAAAGGGATGAAAATGGGACAAAATGAAAGAAGGCTGTGAAATTTCTGGGGCTTGATAGAATGGGACCATAGAGCTATCCAGCTGCATGTGTGTGCTATCTTTCAAGAAAAGGCCAGACCTGACCCCTAAAGTGATTCAGAAATCATCTGGGCTGCGATTCCACCAGAGCCCCAGGTCAGGGCTTCTACCTCCTAGACTTCCCCAGGTGGAGTCGGTGTCACAGAGACCTGAAGCAACTAGGCTGCCCTTCACAGCCTGGGGAGTGACACTGCCCCCACAGTGGGCCCTGCAGGCAGAATGTCAAACCAAAGGATAGCATTCTTGAGCCTTAAGACCTACTGAAATTTGCCTTGCTAGGTTTTGGACTCATATGGGAGCTGTCACTCCTGCATTTTCTATTTGTCTCCTTTGAAATTGGAATATCTATCCCATTCCTCTCCTACCATTGTATCTGAAAGCACTTAACTTGTCTGATTTTGTAGGTTCACAGATGGAGATGAATTTTGCCTCAGGATGAATCCTACCTAGCCTGAGGCTCACCTGTATATGATGTAGATGATAATCAGACAAAACTTTGAACATTAGAATTTAGAGTTGATGTTGTAATGACTTAAAACTTGTGGTTGTTGGGATGGAGTAAGTGTATTTTTCTTGTGAAAAGGACATGAATGGGGGGGGGGCCACAAAAAAGTATGTTTGTCCCAAATTAATGTATCAAACCTCAATCCTCACTGGGGCTGTATTTGGAGATGGGCCTCTAAGGAACCAAATAAAGTGATGTCATAGGTAAGGGGTCCCAGGTCCAATGTCCCTGTAAGAAGAAACACAGGAGAGTGAATCTCTCCAAATCCCCGCACAGAGGAGAGGATGTGTGAGCGCACAGCTTTAATTTTGTTACGGAAGTTCAAACAGACTCATACAGCAAGAACTGTATTTCATGTTAAGATAGAAAAATAACACCTTCTCCCTCATCAATAGCAACTTTTGGGGGAAGCTGCATGTATAAGTATATAATTATGATAAAATATAACAATGGGCATTACAAAGCTATGTCTCAAATCCTATGGTTGTACATCAAAGAAATTATTTTGCAGAAGTAATTGGATCCCTGAACACAAGAGTCCTTGATTCAGTGATTATACAGGAGTAGGGAGAACTTATGTGCAGCCTGGGATATAGGTGGCTTTCTGGATATCATGGCTCCTCATCTTCCTGCTGGTCATAAGTTAATGGTCCCTCTTTTGGTGGGACAGTCCCGATTTTTGGTGGGACAGTCCTGATTTTTAACAATTTGTCCCACCTGCGGTGTTTTAAAAAAGTCCCGATTTTTGGAAAGAATGCACCACAAGCTAGGGAACAGTGGGAGAATGGGAAGGGAATATACAGCTGCTGAAAAGGTTAATGTAACTCCATTTGGGATTGAAGAGGTTTATGTAACTTCATTTGGAAATGAAAAGGCTAATGTAAACTCCCTACTCCCCTCCTGCAAGGTATCAGAAGGAGATAGCTCCCTCCCTCAGCTTCTAGGCAAGGACAATTAGCTCAGAAGGAGCCAAACTGTCTGGAACAAACAAGTAGCCCCCCCACTCTCTAGAGTAAGGTGACCAGACATCCCACTTTTGGTGGGACAGTCCCAATTTTTAACAATTTGTCCTGCGTCCCATGGCATTTTTAAAAAGTCTCGATTTTTGGAAAGAATGCATGACAAGCTAGGGAATGTGGGAGAACAGGAAGGGAATATGCGGTTTTCGGCTGCCATGTGGTTATTTCACCAGGATATGAGTTTTATATTATTTTTGTTAATTTTATAATGTTAAACTTTAATAATAACAACTAATTGTTGAGAACTGACTATCGAGAACTACTTATCAAAGTTTGCATTTTTGTCAGGCACTGCCCCCCAAGGCCCTCCCCTCACCCCCTCAGTGGTGTCCCACTTTATCAATGTTAAAATCTGGTCACCTTATCATAAGTGTATCTGGAGTTTGAGGGCCTGACCTCCTTCTCTTCCCCCCTTACCCAGACAGGAATTAAAGTTTTACAGGAAGCTTTGTCCTGAGGGTAAATATTGGCGTTAGCAGATGTGAAAGTCATTGTATAATTAGCTCACCTACCCTTGCAAAGATTTCTTTCCACACTGTCTATAGTTCATGTCTTTCCCTAAGCCTCTGCTCCTTTAATAAAAGATTCATTGGAAGGTTCTGGATAAAGTCCCTGACTCTGCTCTCTTTATTATCCTAATGAGATAGTGGTTTTTTTCACTTTGCTGTTTTACCATCAATCTTCTCATCTATCTCTGAGAAATGAATTAGAGCTCTCTGCATGGCATTTCTATTTTGCTGGTTCTATTTGATCTTGATTTTATTTTTTAATTTCTCTGAGATTCCAGTGGGATGTAGCAGAAATGAAAGGGGTGCATTTGTATTCAGTCTGTTATCTTGAACTGAATGAGAATCTCTCCTCATGATTTCCCCCTCCGGCTGTCCCTTCATTTGCATTTCATCTCCCATTGCTGTTTTCTTTTCTCTGTTCCTTATCCAGATGGACTCAGACCTCACTTCACCTTTGTGAACCTCCATTCCCCATTCCATAAAACCAGCAAGGCACACAAACCTGGATCAAGAAAAATACTCATCCAAATTATGTGCATTTGTAGCAGAATTTTTGGAAGGGTTCATGAAAAGTATTGATAAGTTGAGGAAGGCTTTATATTTTGGTGATTTTTTTTTTTTTTTTTTGAGGACGGAGCCTCAAGCTATCCCCCTGGGTAGAGTGCCATGGCATCACACTCACAGCAACCTCCAACTCCTGGGCTCAAGCGAGTCTCCTGCCTCAGCCTCCCAAGTAGCTGGGACTACAGGCGCCCACCACAATGCCTGGCTATTTTTTGGTTGCAGCTATCATTGTTGTTTGGCGGCCCGGGCTGGGGATTTGAACCCGCCACCTTAGGTGTATGTGGCTGGCGCCTTAGCCACTTGAGCCACAGGTGCCGAGCCTATTTTGGTGATATTTGAGCAACCTAAATAATACACAGAGAACACTGGATACTGCTGCTCCTAAAGCATTCAGGGTTCCTGCTGCCCACCATTATCAGTAGTCTCACAAGCTTTTTACCATTGTTGGATAGCCCCTTTCATCTTTTCCCTTCTCCACCCTCCTGTTTCATTCTTTTTCAGAGCAGGCTGACTTGCTATTTTTATTCTGCATTGTCTTTCCAAAGACTATGCCTTGAAAGCCTCACCTTTTACCTTACCTATCCTGTCTTCATCCAGGGCCTGCCTGAGACACACCTATGGCTGCCAGTGAGAACAGCCACAAAGGGTGGGCTATGGAGCCTGGGATTGTGAGCTGCCCTGCACAGCAGAGACCTCTCCTTTGCAACTGATCTGCCCCACCCACCCTCACCAGCCTTTATACTTTGGGCCTGCAATGGAAGGGGCAGCCCCATTGATTTCCCAAATATCCTCAGGGTCATTCTTCCATTGCCTTGGACACAGGGTGTTTGTTGAATGGCTCCTAGCTTCTGTTGATATGACTGATCTATACTAACCTCCTTACAAATTTGGCCACCCTCCATGTTCTCTTCCAAACAGTCTTTCTCATTTTTTCCAATATAGATAGGCTAAGAATTTTCCAAATCAATTTCTCTCTTCTATTATAAGGACTCAAAAGAAGTCAAGCCACATCTTCAGCACTTTACTTAGAAATACATAATTTTATCTCCTGCAAGTACTATCTTTCACAAACAACTAGAACATAACTCAGTGAAGTTCTTTGCCATTTCATAACAAGGTTGGCCTTTCTTCCATTTTCCAATAATATGTGCCTCATTTTTATCCAAGAGCTCACCAGAATGGCTTTTACCATCTATATTTCTATAAACATTCAGTGCACAACCACTTAGGTATTCTCTAAGAATCTTGAGGTGGCTCTCCTCTTTCCTTTCTGGGCTCTTGCCAGAAGGTCCATTCTTGGCAATGTGGGATTTTCATAATATGTAACTCAAAACTCTTCCAGCCCCTGTCCATTACCCTGTTCCAAATCTGCTTCCACGTTTTTAGGTAGTTGTCATAGCAGCATCCCCATTTGTCAGAATAGATTTTATGTCTCAGCCAAGATTCAGGGAGTTCTAAAAACATCAAACAATATAAATACAAAGAGAACTGAAGCTAGATGCATTATTTTAAAACCAAAGACAAATATAATGCAACAATGTACAGAGATAAAAGTGAAATAAATGCTGCTACTCAAAGCAACATGGGTAAACCTCACATTAAAAAAAAAAAATTAGACCAAAGAATTCTGGTACAAAAAGTGCATTAGATTGGTTTTTTTAAAAAATCATTTTATTAATAAACAGTAAGAAAAATAAAAAAGCAGTATATGATGTTGGAAGTCATGATAGTGGTAACCTGTGGTGAGGGGTGTTGGTGATGACTGAGACATGCCTCTAGGAGGGCTTGGAGAGTATCAGTAATATTAAAGTCATTTGATATGAATAATGGTGATTTTTCATGTTTACTTTGTGATGTCTCATCAAGTGTACATTTATTATTTGGGAACTTTTAAAAAACGTATCTTAAACTTCAATAAAACTTGATTAAAGTTGTTGAATGGTCCATTTCGTAGGTCATATGCGATGGCCATTAGATATGGTTTTAGTCTTCTCTTGGATATACTATAATCCACAGTAGGAACACAACCTGACAAGATAAAAGCAGTCAAAATGTAGACCACTACCCTTTACTTTGTACTTTACTACTTTCAGAGACTTTTTATATCCTAGCCAGCCAATTAACATTTTATTTGTTCTACTTAAGTTTAGAATATTAGAGATTTAAAAAAATATTTTACCTTTAAGGTTCTGTCAGTTCTATGCATCAATATTTGAACATTGAAATTGGATGAGCAGGTAGTAGACAAATTTATTGACAGTCATATCAAGCTTTTGGGACAGCTTTGTAAACATAAAAGACAATATCCTGATACTTTGTTTTTTAAATTTTGTTACCATTATAAAATTGCCAATCTAGTTTGTTTTTCTCAAACTGTTGTGAGTGTGTTTTTGTTTGCTTGTTTTGGTATGTTTTGTTTTGTTTTTATTAGAGACAGGGTCTTATTATATTGACCCAGGCTGATCTTAAACTCCTGGATTTGAGCAATCCTCTCACCTCAGCCTTCCAAGTAGCTGGGACTATAGGCGTGAGCCACCAGGCCCAGCTTTAAATTTTTGTTTTAATTTCAAGTAAATCTTATGTTATAATATAAGTATTAATTTCTATAAACAGTTAAAATAAATAGATAAATTTATTAATTTTAAAATTTTACATTGTTAACAAAAATACCATAGACTGGGTGCCTTCTGCACAACAGAAATTTTTTCCTTGTGATTCCAGACACTGGAGGTCCAAGATCAAGGCACTGGTAGATTTCTTGTCTGGTGTGAGCTCACTTTCATAGATGGTGTGTTTTTTCTTCTGTAACCTCACAGGCCTACAGGGTCAAAGGATCTCTCTGTGGTCTCTTTTATAAAGGCACTGATCCTATTCATGGGGTCTCCACCCTCATGCCCTAATCATCTCTCAAAGGCTCCACCCCCCCCCAAATACTATCACATTATGGGTTATGTTTCAAAATATGAATTTTGGAGGAACAATGCAAGTGTTCAGCCTATAGCATACAGAGAGAACTTACCTAAACTTAAGATTAAAATGTTAAGGCTTCATAATTTTTCTAATTAATTTTATGCTTAAAGTTTGCCACTGTTATTAGTCAAGGTTTTCCAGATAGAACAATAGTAGATACAGGTGTATGCTAAATACAGATATAGACATAGATGATAGAGATGGAGATGGAAATGGAGAAGGATATGGATACAGATGGGGCAGGGAGAGAGAGAGAGAGATGAGAGAGATATGGGGTAATTGGCTCATGTAATTACTGAAGCTGAGAAGTACCATGACCTGTAAGCTGGATAACCAGGAAGACCAGTAGTGTGTCACTCTGTCTAAGTTGGTAAGCCTCTCAACCAGCGAAACTTGTCATGGAATTTTTAGTTTGAGTCCAAAGGTCTAATTACCTAGGGTGCTGCTGGTGCAAGTCCCAGAGTGCAAAGGCCAGAGAACCTAGCATTCCAGCACTGAAGGGAAGGAGGAAAGGGCATCCCAGCTTCCAGAGAGAGCCAGTTTGCCTTTCCTAGGTCTTTCTGTTCTTTCCAGGCCCAAGGCCAATTGGATGGTGCCTGCCCACACTGAGGGTGGATCTTCCCCTCTGGACGCACTGACTCATTCATCTGTCTCTGCTAGAAACAGCCTCACTGACACACCCAGGAATAAGGCTTGACCAGCCATCTAGGCATCCCTCACTCCACTCATGCTGACACCTAAAATGAACCATCACACCCAGATGATGATTTTGCCTTTTCAAATAATTTTTGTTCATCTCATAGCTAATCGAGTTTGCATCCTAATCAGAGGTTATGAGTGTTTTAAGAATTGGAGCTACAGAGCAGGACAACCTTCCTCACAATTTAAATAGTTATACTGAGACTTTTAGAATCTCTATGTCAATCAGGACCAAAAATGGGTTGGTTTCATAACCAGAATCCCCTGAATTTTTCTTTTCTTTTATTTCTTTGTATTTTTTTCAGCTTTATTACTTGATTAAGGTGGATTAAATTCTAATACTCAAATACAGACGACTTCATCACTTATTGGATTCAATTAATCTATTCATTGCTTGAATCTGTTATGAATACATTTGCATATTCATTTTATTCAAGAGCCAAAATCAAAGATATATGAATGGCATTTCATCTTATGTAAAAGACATGTCCCTTGACCTGCTTTGCTGTAGAGATTCTGAGCTTTCAGCTCAATGTAAGAAGCATGTCTTGCTCCCCTCCCTGCTTTTCTTCATTGTAACTCTTTGAAAGTGACTGCTGTCACAACTTTTGATCGTTGGAACACTCAAAGTTCGCTCATTCTTGTTTCATGGCTTTGTTGGATGGAATTGGAGCCTCACAAATGTGTTTGTGCTACCCTCTAGTGGCATAGTGGCAGTTTCACATAAATCAGAGAAGTTTAGTTAGCGATGAAGTAGGAAGTTTTACAGAACTGGAAAACTAACTGGAAAATAAATTTTGACAGATGAAGTCTCTGTATATAGAATTTAATTTTATCTTTGACACACATTTACCTAAAATATATACACTATTATAAATGTCTTTTTATTGTAACTACAACGTTCTAGGTATGGCAAGGTTGATCTGGGTTCATATCAGCAATTGAGAGGAAGTCCTGTCTATTTGGGTAGCTAGCAGGAATGTAGCAGCTGTGAGAGTAAGTGTCAAGATGTGTAATTCATTTCCTGTCTCTGAGTCCTTGTTTCACTGACACATTACTCTGATACTTAATTAAATCAATTCCCGGTGTCAACTTTCTCTGTTTTGAACATCAAAATCCAAAGATGGCCACCATTATCTGTAAACCAAATAGCATTCCAGAAAGTTTTGACTTCAATATCTTGACTGATATAGGATATCTTTTCAGTAGCACAGAAAGTGATGCAACGTTTGAACATAAAGCAGAGAAATTACTAGATAAAAGAATGAGAATGACAAAATGAATAAAGAACTTCCTATGACAAAACTATAGTCATTTATTAGTAACTTTAAATTAAATAATGGAAGTTTGTTTTTTTATTTTGTTTCCATTAGTCATTATGTACGCTCTGTTATTAAGAAAGGGGTTCCCCCGGGATCTGGCTTGCCTTCTGTCCTTGAAACTGATGAAACTGCCACCGTTAGCCAGACAGACGCTACTCAAATAGCTGGAGCTCTATCTCAGGTAACTGTGTTACTCTTACCGTTGGCCTACCTCTTAATAATAGAAGACTTTTGTTCTTAAATTGTGAAATATGTTATAATACCAAAGGATATATTACATGCATCTGAACAGTAGAGAATACTATTAACATAAATATATTATGACCTAGCTTAGAAAATGGAATATTCATCTACTGCAGAAGTCCCCTGTGTGTTTCTTTCTGGTCATATTTCCTATTGCCATTTAGATTGTAGTATCAAACAGCTCTATACTATTCTAATTTTGCCAATTCTGTATATTTGTAAATGATACTAATATGTAGCTTAGCTTGTTATATAATTTTAGTGGACTCCTATTGTATTCTTCTGTGGTTTCTTTCACTTATCGTTATGTGTGTGATGTTATGGTTCATTCATTTCACTGGCTGGTCGTATTTCTGGTGTAACCATAGTACAATTTTTGTTTAATGTACCACAGTGTCAGTGGCTACATCCATCACTTCTTGATTCTTTCTATTTTAAGCAATGGTGCCATAGATTTTCTTAAATGTCTCCCATTTGCATATAGTTTTTTTTGTTTCAGGGTTCAAAGCTTTTTTTTTAGAGGCAGAGTCTCACCTCAGTAGAGTGCTGTGGTGTCATAGCTCACAGCAACCTCCAGCTCCTGGGCTTAACCAATTCTCTTACCTCAGCCTCCTGAGTAGCTGGGACTACAGGCACCTGCCACAACGCCCTGCTATTTTATTGTTGTTGTTGTTGCAGTTTGGCTGAGGTCGGGTTTGAACCCACCACCCTTGTTATATGGGGCTGGCACTTTACTCACTGAGCCACAGGCACCACCCAGGGTTCAAAGCTTTTTTTATGTGCTACGGATCCCCTTAGTATTTTGTAAAACTCTAGCACATGATGAAAACAACTCCTTGCTTTCTGTGTGTCAGTTAACTGAGGGTTGTTGATGGACAGCAGTGGGGAGCAACACAGCTGTCTGTGTGGGGATACATACCTTCAGTGTCTACTAAGCACAGCTGTCGTAGTTGACCAGCTTTAGGTCAAAGGAGTATCTGCAGACAGGAAGATGTGGCCACATAAAATGCAATACCTACTGTCAAATCGAAGCAATGCTCAGCATACAGGATCTTTTAAGATATTTGCAACAACTATAATATAATGCAAAATATTGTGATTTTGTTTGTTGGTAGGGTCACGCTTATTTCTAATAACATCATGGCTACTTGCCTACATTGATAAATTGATAATTGAAGAAAATATTGCATTTCAGTTAAAGTAAATGTAATTTTTTTCACACCAACCATGTAATGGATTCCTGAAATTTAATTATGGGCCCCAGTAGACACTAGATTAGAAAGCCTTGCTCTAGAAAGTGATTTTCAACTGGTGTGCCATGAAAAATTTTAAAGAACCTTAATTAAATTATTTTCTTTTTTTTTTTTTTTTTTTAGTTTCTGTCCTAGACCTTTAGGGGAATAATATA